AAGTGAATATTTTGCTCAGTTATTCAATGTTCCATTTTTGTATTCCTCAATACTTGTTCCATAAGTGTACTCCTCCACAAATAAGGTCAATAACATAATCATCATCATCATCATGGGAGATAACTTTACTGGCCAACTAGGCAAGAACTATTATTTTTATTTAAATACATTATGTGCTTGCAAATAAAATTTTATGCCACAATTGAACCATACATTTACATAATTATTTTACCCATTGCGCGAGAAGAGGTTTGGGGCTTGGTACCGAAGATGATGTTTGAATTTTGAATCCGCCATGATGTACACAACTAATATCGTATTCATGGACCTTCGTGTAATGGATGTCGTGTTTGTGATTTCGTTGACACCAAAACCTTTTCCTTTACCAAGGAGTCGGGTAAACTTTTCCTCTCTCTTTTCCCCTGATTTAATCTTTGTCGCTTTGATCAATCGTTTTCTCGCATTGATGACCGTTTGTTGCAGCATATTGGACTTTTTTGGCCAAGTTATTTGTCAGAGCAGCCTGCTTTTGGATTTGTTGAAACTTTGTTAGCTTTCCAATCTCCTATTGACCGGCGGTTTTGTCTTCCAGTTAAACTGGATTTGTGTGTGTCTCAAACGTAATGATCCTGGGTCTTTCCGGTGTCCGATTTGATGATTTTAAGTGAAGGACGTCAAAATTCGGCTTTTTGGCGAAGAACGGTTCCTAAAGCACTGCAGTATGACTTTCTACTCCCCAGATATTGTCATTCTAGAGATTATATTTTATAGAGGCACTTACGATTTAGACTGGAAAATTACAGAGCGAATTATTGTTGTACGTTCATTGATCTTCCATGCAAACACGCATTTTAATGAGGGGCAAAAATGTTAAGTTGTCATCGACATCCCACGGGCATCTTTGCTGAACCTTAAGAAACCGGTCCTGTTTTAAATCAGGTGGTATTATTAGTTTGTGACGTGTTGCGTGACATGTTATTACGTCACGGATTCCCCTTTTGTGCATGTAGCATTGTTGTAAAAACCATGTGCTAGTGAATGAAGTTATGGTTCGTAGTCTTGTTTCTTGTTTTCGGCTGTCTATCTAATTTAAGAGGATAGCATATTGATACACGGTGGCAGCGTGTGTAGGATGCTCAGTATTATCTGTTTCATCGATGAGTGACTACGAAAGCTCACCTTGATCCGCTGTCGCTGCTTCGAATCCGCCCTCTGCTTCGACAACTGCGATTAATCGTCCGCCATTTCCACAGATTAAACCACCTCCTCCACTCAACTTGGCGGACTGTTCGGCGAAAAAGTGGAAACTGTGGAAACAAACCTGGCTCAACTACGCTATTGTGTCGAAAATTTTTTCATTCAAGATGCTCAACACCAGAAAGCTGTTTTTCTCTGCACTATAGGTCAAGGCGCTTTAGAGATTTAAAACGCGTTTCGATACAGCGCGAGTGAGGATTCCGATAGGGTGGAAACCTTTCTCTCCAAATTCGAAGAATTCTTCACGGGGGAGGTAAAAGAAACATTTGAACGCTTCGAAGTTTAACCAGAAGAACGAAGAAGTTGGTGAAAGCTGCGACACTTATCTCCTCGCCTTGAGGAACATGGCGGAATCTTGTAACTTCTGTAGCTGCCCAGCAATGAGCGACTCTCTACTTCGAGACCGTATCGCTCTCTGTATTCAGAATGAAGATGCCAGGGAACGGTTATTTCAAGAAAGAAAGCTCGACCTGAAGAGAGGTGTTGATATATGCCGAGCAAAGGAGAGCGCGACGACTCACCTCCAGGCGTTTGGTGGAAAACACGTAGAGTCCACCGGGTGCACCGAAGAGGCAATGATCTTTCCAAGAAGAACCGTAAACAGGGTGAATGAACTGAAGCCTCATTTGAAGAAAAAAACACCGAGCTACGAGAGCTTAAGTGCAAGTTCTGCTCACAGTCTCATGTTCTGAAGAAAGAGCTATGTCCTGCGTGGAGTAAAAGGTGCAATGTTTGCCGTAAAATAAATCACTGAAAGGGTTCAGAGGTTTGCGCCATGAAAGAGAAAATACGCTAAGTAAATCAAGATTCTGATTGCCGTGACTCGGATTCGGATGTGGCCTCTGTGAAGACTTTCAACGCTTTTGTTAATGGTGTCGCCTCAAGGAAAGACAAAACAATCTATTGTGAAATGCGTATCAGGTCTAACCCAGTCAGACTACAAGTGACTGTGGAGCCACTGTTAGCATCATCCCCAGACGTCACATCGGTGACACCCAGCTTGGGCCATCTAACATTTCCCTAGTGATGTGAACAAGGAGAAAATGAAGGCCCTTGGAACCTGTAAACGTCCCCTAGAAAACCCCAAGGTCTCCCAGAAGTAGATGATAAAGTTTGTTGTTGTCGAGGAAGAGCTCACCCTCCTGCTGCTTCGAAAGGCAGCTGAGAAGATGAAACTTATTACAGTCAATTACGATAAGTTTGAAAGTGTCGGTGGGGTGGTTGAAGACAAGCACGATACCCAACAAGATTTGAAGCCCGACCCAAGTAAAGTAGAATCTATTCTTAAGCCAGAAAGTTCAAAGAACAAGGTAGACATTGAAAGACTCAATGGGACTGTAAACTATCTGGCAAATCCCAACCCTTCTTGCGAGCATTAAATGCTACAAGTTCGACGACTCTGTTGTGTCGTGCCACACGAGAAGCACGCGTTCTCGGACATGACTGTAAGAAATGACCGAGCGATCCAACCCTACCGCATGCATCACAGGTGGTGCTAGCGTCCACACGCCCTCTCGCAGCTCGTAACGGTACGTTCATCAAGTTTCCCCTTACCTTGATGGCGCCGATGAAATCGGCTCCTGTTAAGGCAGAATCAGGTTTTTCAAGCCACTGATGTTGTTGCGGCACCTGTGAAGCCAAGGCTAGACCACATCCATCAACGGACTCATGTAGAGACCGCGCCAGAGCCGATCTGAGACACTGCTTCGAGGAGACAACAGTGCCACAGAAGGACCTCGACGTACCTTGTTTCAGTAGAGAAGCCGACCTTTGAGGCATAACCAGTATAGCCTGAATTACGGGGTCCTCACTTCTGCACAGGTTCGCAATTCGTTTCTGTTTGAGCAATGGGATTGTTTGACTAAACAACGGTACACCAAGTCCTCCGTTAACGATCTCCGCGTGGAAGAGGGCCGTTGGAGTGTCCTTGGGTAGCTTCAGCCATGAGCGGATAGCGGATCTGATTGACTTATCTATCCATCCCAAGTACTTATCAGTGCAGGGAGCTAAAGTCAATTGATGATAGAAGACCGGAATTAAATGGTGATTCAGGCAGTATATCCGTTGCTGTGGTTTAAGGGGAGCTGAAGAAAGGTCCGACAGCCCGTCCTTATGCTTGGTTGCAACATCAGCACGAGCACCCACAGGAGAAAAAGGTACCCTAAGATAGTTCTGGACCTGATCAATTGAAATAGATGGTATCAATCACGCATCACCCGGCTTACCCTTCTGACGAAGGAACGGATTAGGATTTGCGATCCATCGTTTCGCCTTACCATCAACGTCGATGCGAAGACAGGCTGATTTGCCAGTCAATCCCGCTGAGAGTTCCAATCCGGAGAGCCGAAACTCCTCGGAGAGGTCATCAAAGAGACATTGGAGGCCCGCCGGCGATCCAGCGATCAGAGCAATGTCATCCGCAAAGGCGCCACAATTAACCCGCCGATTTCCAACAAGTACCCCTAGTTCAGGATCACGACCGTCGATTGCCCAATCAATCACGGCGTTAAATAGATGAGGACTGAGCGGATCACCCTGCCTAACAACACCACAACCAACTTTAATCGAGGAGCTGCGCTCAGGGCCAATCCGTAACACAGTCTGGGCACCTCTGTAGAGAGAATTCACATAGGTTAAGAAAGGCGGTGGAACACCGAAAGCTCCGCTGCGATCAGCAATGAGTGGTGAGAGACCGGGTCAAACGCCTTCGTCACATCCACAAACGCGATGTTAACAGGCTGCAGGTCAGCTTTGTGCTGATTAATGACTGACGATAGGAACCAAACACTTTCAGCGACCCCATCTGCAGCCATAAAGGCCTTCTTCCTAGAGTTGAACGGCAGCAAATTTTCCATGCGTTTAGCCAAGATCCGGTGGAAACAACGGATCACCAAGTCGGACATGGTGATTGGACGATGCTTCTCCGGTTTCTTGGTGCCTGGTTCCTTTGGCAACAGAACAGTCTCGCCGCGACGAAGCGCTTCAGGTTGGTAGCCAGCCAGCAACCATAGATTGTAATGAGCAACTAGCTCTTGAATAGGGATGTTTTTCAAGTCTTTCAGTCTCCTACCGTCTGGACCTGGGGCCCCATCCTTCATCCCAGCAAGGGTACGTTTGACATCGTCACTTGTGATCGGTGCCATGATCTCCCACTGAGTGGGTCCCACTGGATCCGGAGTCCGGTGATCAGGAACGGACGACTTCGAGAAGATCGACCGCCAATAGGACTCCTGTGCTGCCATCTGGAGGAGCACCTCATCTCCCCGCCATGTACCTGACGGAACCTCTTTTGCACAACGTCCTCTATTCTTGCTCCAAGAATGTTGTACTTTCGCATAAAACGCTCTCCGTCTTACCCTCGGTTTGTCAGGTAGCTTGCGTGCAGTAGGAAGAGAGGAAGAGAGTCATAGTTACTCCCGCCGTTTACCCGCGCTTGGTTGAATTTCTTCACTTTGACATTCAGAGCACTGGGCAGAAATCACATTGCGTCAACACCGTTTCCGGCCATCGCAAACCCTGCGTGCTGAATAATTATCCTTCAAACATTCGAACTCGTAACAATGGGGGCCTGTTCCGGGAGAAGAATTTAACTGTTTTATTGTCTGTGTAACAAGGGGGAAAAAAGCACTCCGAAAGAACTAATTGGGGACACTATATTAACGTCCTCTACTAGCGACGGCACCGCCATTTTTACGTGGTCATTCAAGCAACTCGAAGGTCTAGCCTTTTGCCTTCAAATTTCTGGTCCATCTTAGTCTGGAAAACCTCTTGAGACATTTTGAGGCTAAAGGGCTCGCGCCTGAATCTGTATCTCCCAAATGTAGTGAGGTTAATAGACTCTTTTCCCAGGACCACTTTTCGGTATCCACATTTTTTTCTCCCTTAGAGAAAACACTTTAGCATCCTTCAGGTATAGTAGGATCTCTTCTTGGGTGAGAGCGACATGATGTTCAATCTGAATAGTTGCATTGAAGTCTTTGTCGTTCAGGTGGAGCCTCATCCTTCCGTTCTGTTTGCGGCGGTAAACAAGGTTTTTGAACCATTGTGTCAGTTTACTTTTTTCGATCTTCGCTATAATGACATTTCTTGTCTAGTTCCTTTTTGATGTCGTCTTTGAAGCTGATTGTCACACGTCTCGTGGGATCGACAACTGGGGGTAAACTTGGTTCAAGTACTATATGGTATTCGCCTTGGAACCTCCCACTGCGTTGAGGCATTCGAGATACCGACTGATCACGTGCTATTTGTCTTATTCATAGGTTACTTCTTACAAGCTGTATCGGTGCAGGGTGTGGTCAAATTTAAATGAAACATTTGGGGGGGGGGGTGGTTTGGCCCCTACGTGCTAGGTTCTGCGGGCACATTTCACGAGACCTTAGGCTTTTGATCTGCAGGCGTCTGCAAAATGGTTTGATTTCTTGCGGGACAGACATACTTGATCATTTGCTGCGCAGTTAGAAGGTGAACTAAAGGCGCGGTCGTAGTTTCTGCTCATCCGTGTTCCTACAGAAGGTTGATAATTTTACGGTCGGTTGCGCTGTGGTCATTTTCTCGTATTTTGGTTTAGAACTACATAAACGGTTTTCTCACCGTCGTTAGTGCTACTGCCCGCCATGGAAGACAGTTGTGCTTGAGATGTTTTGAATAATCAAGCAATCTTCACCGCTTCATCTTGTGTTAAAGAGGACCCTTTACTTGACCTTGGTCGTCTGGGTGTGTGAAATCGCAGTTTTGGGCCATCAAGGAAAATAATACTACTACTAATAATAATAACTTTATCAATCTCCTCAAAAAGGCTTTTCAGCTTAATTTATAATGTTAAATATCTAAAACTTAGTTTTCCAAAAATACCCTTAAAATATGCTCTTTTATTTTTACTTTAAATACGTCTAAATTAGTGATAGACTGAAACTCGTCTGGGAGACTAATCCACAGCTTTTGGCCTCTAAAGGTAAACGCGCGCTGACCTGCAGCCGTCCTACAGAGTGGTATATGTGGGCGGTCCCTATTCCTAGTGTTGCAGTTGTGCACTTGCGATCTGGTTTTAAACTTCTGACAAAGATATGGAGGTGCAAGTCCATTAAAACATTTACATTCATTCACCCAACTGGCTTGTTGCAAGACAAGTTTTAACGTGGGTGATAAAACTCGCAGCTTCACTTTCCAACTCGTTTTGCAGCATAATGTTGCTAGGCAACTTTTTTGTTGCCCATTTAAGGGAAAGCCTCTTTTCCATGACGTTTCAAGCAAAGTGAGCTGTATTTTTTTGCTTTAAAAAACGTTTAACTCAACTCAAGGGAAAATAACTCTAATGCGGCTTTCTTTACCTAAACGACCTGAATTAGGTGGTAGGCGCTGTTTCAGGTAGATGCTTTCAAGGGGCTTGTGGTCAGTGTAGACGGTGGTAGAGCTTTGGCTGTACAGGTAGGTGTGGAACTCCTCGCAGCCGAGAGCTGTCAGTGTTCTTAGGTTTGCAATAATTGGAGCCATGTAGTTTGCTATCCCCTAGGAAGGTTTGCAGTTCCTTGTAAGTTGTAGGGGGAGGCACCAGCTTCAAAGCTGAGATTGTGATTGGGTCTGGCTGGATACCATCTTGACCACACATTACTTCATAGAATTTGATCATCTCTGGTCTCACAAAGCAATTGTTGGGTTTAGCTTTAGCGCAGTGTGTAACTGCCGTTTTAGCATCGCGTGCATGTTGCGGTCGTCCTCCTCGTTGATTTTCCCGAAAATTACAATTTCATCTGCAAT